ACATTTTTCTTTACAGATAAGCAAACAATATATAAAATTAGCATTCTATAAAATTATAAACCTTTGCATTTGTAAAGAATAAAGGAGCCTAAAATGTGTAGTTGCAAACATTCACATTTTATTAATTTGACCAAGGATTTATATTCTTCTTCTTCTCCTGTGGCTCTTAAAATTCCTTGTCAAGCGGATTGTCAGTCTTGGATGCTCGCTGTGCAGCTGCCTTGATGCTTAACCTATTCTGTCATCTGCAAAAGATACTCCCCGCTTTGTGTTGCACTTCACAGGCCATACGTCATACTAGTTTTTCACTATGAAACCAGCATTTTGTTCTTTATTCCCTATGGAGCAGCTCTTCGGCTAGTGTAAACAGCTCTAGCAAAGCTGGAAGACCTTTCTCACTAAGTTTACTTATTTTAAACAGGGATCTGTTTTATGTAGCAAGTTTAACTAGCATCACATATACTAACCTGCATGTTTGCTTTTACAAACAAAAACCAGAAAATGAGAGTCAATTTCCTTTTCTGAAATCATAGTGAGAATTTTTTTATAAAGCAATATAATCTTTTTTGCTATGTATAGCTTATTTATTTTTCCAGCAAATGTCTCCTTAGAAGCTCATCTGAAAGGATAATTCTAAAATCTTCAAGGTACTTCAAATGATCCAACTTTAATCAGTAGTTTTATCCCGAACCTCTTAGGTCGGAGAAAATTCAGACCACACCAGACTTTGTTCGCTGTGCTGGTTCCCAGGAAACTGGCTGGTGTGGCTGCTGAATTTAGCTGGCTGGTGTGTGCATATGACCACTTCCTGGCAGACGTTCAGATCTGGTAAGATTTTTGTAGTTGTTACCCAGAGGGGAAGAGACAAGTGTTTTGAACCCATAAGGACTTCAGTTTTATTTTGGAAACATGAGGGTTGAACACTACAGAAGCTGAAGCCCGATTCCTTTATGGGCACAAATTGCATACACGATATGAAAACCCAGTACCTTTTCCTTTAAATATATGGGTATCAAGATATGAATCTTGCATTAACAGGATTTGCATCTTCCTCAAACTTGCTGCTATGTACACCAAGATAAGACATTGTACAGTAAGAATGAATATCACATATTTAAATGGCTGAACCCTATGCTGATAAAACTGTTTAAAATCATCAGTCAATCAAATTAATCTTTTTCTTTTTATTTGGTGGGTATTCATCACGACAATGCTGTTTCCAAACCTTACATCAAGGGAAATGATAATCCTCCATTCTTTGTGATTTGGGATGGTGCTTCATGTAGAACCATAGCAGGAAAATGTACCTTAGACAGCATTCCATTCCAGTGATTTCATTAATGATCAAATGCTTTTAAGCGGCACACAGTACCTTGAAGGATTGCAGCCAATATATAGTTCCCAACAGGTCAGTCCTAAGGACTGAACCAAGTATATAATGTATGAGTAACCTTTGTTGTCATCAAAACATACAATGGCAGTTCAAAACTCATTGGCATTTTTTTTAGTTTTAGATGAACAGAAAGTCTGGATCACAATTATATAAGCTGTCTTCATTTATCCTCCATTTTATTGTATTTGTATTTCATCTAATTTGTTCCCGCTGTGAATGTTTCAGATATTGAAAAGAGGTACTGCCCATGAAGTATTTTATTGTATAGGGTTCAAACTGGCAATCAGAAGCCAACTTGTCTTTGCAATGCTGTATTTTAAAATAGTGCGCAGGGCCCCACGTATGCATAAAACATGGTCTCAGGTAAACTTTTAGTAAAACAGTTTCGTCTGTTTAAAAATATGCTCATTTTTGACTACACATATAATTCTTTTTTTTTTTTTTAATTTTCACTAAAAAACCACTGGTCCATTGAAAATAAGATGCCTTGTGTTACTAGAAGTCAGGAACCCTATTTACTTACTATAAAATTCTGTTTTAAGGCTACCGTTGAGATCATGTTACTTCAACTTGGTTTCTAAGGAAACTAAAGTCTACACACTGATAACCATAGAACAATAAAAAAGTGAAAAAATAAAACTACCCCAGTATCTCTCCTTAGTGGGCCTATATAGAGAGCAGTTTCAAAATAATACTTTATTGTAACTCAAAAAATACATTAGGTTATTCTGTTCACATTTTGCCATATAAAAGGTGAACGTAAGCTGTTAAAAAAAAATAAATTACGACTTAAGATAATCTCTACAGACTTATTCCTTTACACGATTATTTTCATTAGATAATCTTTTTATACTGGGTAAGGATTCTTTAGCTGGAAATCACTTTATAAAGTTGTATAAAAACATTTTGTTTGTATACCACACATAGCCTGAATCTTTGAAACTTCCTCTCCTTAATTGGTTATCGAAAATGATTCATGTTACAAATTGGTATTCACAAGTTATTATGTGTAGTAATTTACATTTTTTTCCTTTGTACAGGCATCTAAAGTTTAGATTTATATGTAGTGCTGAAGTGCATTTCAGTCTTCAAATCAAGATTGCAACATACTTTAAAGTATATTCACATTCTGTATGGATTTCAAACTATTGTCATCGTGATGATGCTTTGGACATTTTGTGGGAGGAGGGTTGTATCACAGAGTATTGGTTTGGTTAAAGACAATACATGGACAAAAGACAAAGTAAGTTTTAAGGAGTTTTATGAAAAACAGTATTTTTCCCATGCATTAAAAACAGCATATGAAAATCTGTAGGGCTAAGTTCTTCTGTGGACTTTTTTAACCTATTTTTAATGGAAAAAAAAATGGAGCAGAATACAAAAAAAAAGCGATTTTCTCCTTGAAAATACTTTTGATACTGTCAAAATAAACTTTCATTAGAAGATGAAAATGTCATTTTCTTCAACAGCTGTGTTTGAATTAAAGTCTGAAATTTCAATTTTGTCAAGGAGGAAATTTTTTGTGAGGAGAAGAAAAAAATCATTTCGACTGACTATAATATATAATATATGCAGGATATATATAGGTACACATGCAGCAATACAGAGCCAGCATCTCTGCTGGTGTAAAACATCTATGTGTCTCTGAAGTCACAACTTGCCTAACTAACATCAGCTGTGAATCTCACCCAAGAAAGAAATTTTTGCTTATCTCATATTCACCTCTCTGTGGAATGCCGGAGCCGGTTTCTGAACGACATGATTCTGATCCAGAAGACATAAATATAGCAGTAGAGGAACTACAGAGCTAACCTGAACACCAGAATGCGTCGGTGGCAAGAAACAGAGGTATGGCTGTAACGTTACTTAATAATGTAGTCTTGAAAAACTATTGAAGGAAAAGTCAAGCTTGTCTGTAAGAAGGCTGCTAAAATTCTTTTCAGGTCTTCAGAAAAATTGTGTTTGCGATGTAATTCTTTAAGACTAGTAAAGACTAAGACCACGTAAAACGATAATGAATTCTTCAGGTCTCAGAGTAGAGCCTTCAATGCACTGGCTACTGACCAATGCGGTACTTTTATTTGAGTGAGCAATTCGAGAGATGTGTTTTCTAGGTGGTACTTGTTTTACTTCTAAAGCTTTTAACAAATATGTATATAAAAGATGCTTCTACAGCACAGTAATAGTAAATGCGATATTTTCAGGCAAGCACACCAAATTCAACTATGCTGATGACTCTGAACTTCCATGTTAATAAGAAAGCTCCTTGTTGATGTTTATTGGTACCTGAATTTGTAAAGCTGTACCTTAATGTGTTTTAGTATCTAACTGCACATATCTATTTCACAGCCTTTCAGAATTATACTGAACGATTCTATTAAGCAGCACTACACAAGAAATGTAGTTAACAGTATTTCAGAACCTAACTTGATTCACTTTAATTTTCTAGTTACATTGAAGAATATACCATTTTGCCAAGTGCAACTCACACTTCCATATTTTACTTTCTTTGGTATGCTCTGTTGTTTTTAAAACTTCCATTAAAGTAAAGCGTGTCCTTCAGTAAGGATTGCAGAATTTGAAGATGATGAAGAGCCTCATCTGACAGGGACCAGCTACTCTAGTTTTCCAGTGCTTTCTCCAGACTATTTCAAGTGATGGAATCTTATAATTTGTCTTGGAGAACTTTCACTATGACACATGTGTTTAATTAAATGGAGGGGGGAGGGGAATCTATGCTTATGAGTATGTAACTTCAGGTGGATGGAGTTGAACTGAATGTACATAAAATTTGGATAGCTCCCCCACTAAGTACCAGAAAATATATTTATCAATGCCTGATTTCTTATGCTGATCTTTACAAAGTACAACACTTGCTTTTACTAACGATTTGGTTCTAGAGAGGTTAATTGTGGCTAAGGAAGTCCTTGCTGCAACATTCAGGGGTGCACTTCTTGCACTTCTTTGAATTACCAAATTCAGAGCAACGCCACCGACTTCACTGGTTTTACAGAAGATTTGTGTGCTTCATCAAAGATAGAATCAGGCCTCAAGATTTTTTGCCCTGCAGACCTATATTCTTCATCTTTCCTGCGTTACAGAACAGCTCTACTCTGTTGCAAAGCTCAACAGTAGCAGCGATTCTCTCCTTCAGTATCTAATTTGATGATCTGAGTTAAAAGCGGAGATACTTCAGGCAAGAAGTTATCAATGCCTCTACAGAGCATTTAGATATAGAAATCTTTGAAAAACTTGTGCTACACGTTGCTTAGAATGGTATAGGATGTAATTACGGGAAGGACAGATCTCAGCGTTAAGCCCATTTTTTGTTCTGCCTTTGTGTGGAAAGGCAAACTGAAGACCAAACTAGTCTGGCTGAGGACTTCTCAGTCCTCTTTTGTTAATTTTGTTCTCTCAAATTTGAAACTCCCTGCAAGATGCCCAAGGCAGATGGCCATCCTTCCTGTCTGAATGGTGGCGGGCTTTCTCCAGGCTGGCGAGAATGTTGTTCCATAGGACCATCCAGTCAAGGAGGACATGCGAAGGGACCTTCCACCATTCTCTTCTAAGACAAAGCTCAGCAACTAACAACACGATGCAAGTTTGGTCAATTTAAGAATTCAGCAGAGAGGCTCCTACTGTACCTAGCGGATCGGAACTTGAGCTCATGGTAACATTGCACAAAGCTGTGATAAATGAAAGTGATCGGCAAGGCTAATAAAACGATGCCACTAACCACACAAATTCCTCCAAGAATCCTTCCTGGTACAGTGATGGGACACATGTCACCGTAACCAACCGTGGTCATTGAGATGATCACCCACCAACAAGCAGCAGGCATGCTGGCATAATCCTTATTCTTTGTTCCTAAGTCCAGCCCATTTTCGAGAAGCTGGGAAAGTGCACTGAAAATTGCCATAGCAACACAGATAAAGACAAGTAGCATCACCATCTCTCTGTAACAACGCTTCAGAGTCAGACCAAGTGTTTGAAGGCCAATGAAATGACGAGCCAGTTTAATCACCCAAAAAATCCTCATCATTCTTAAGACCCTCAAGGTGACTCCGGCCCTCTGAAGCTGTGAATTTTCCCCTGTGAAAACTGTCATTAGAACAGAGATGTAGTAAGGAGTAATTGCCAGTAAATCAATGATGTTGAGAGGTCTTCTGACAAACTCACACTTGTTTTTGGAGACGATGAACCTCACAATGCACTCTGCAGTGAACCAGCCTATGCAGATGGCTTCAATTATCCTGTCAAAAGAAACAAAGTAGAGTATTTATGTTCTGTGCAAAATCTTTAGTTGATGTTTGGATTGTTCACAGATATTACCAAACTGACACTCAGAGCTTCACAAACGACAAACAGAAAGCCACGCTATTCTTATCCTACACATGTAGCACCAGATTTCAGCAATTAACCTGAGGATCTAGTGAGGATTTTAAACTCATCATTCCTAAGAACTTACTCATTGATCATTTTCTTTGAATTCTAGATTGCTACTGGTCCTATGCTACTGATGCCAATATGTAACATTATCTAGAACGCTTTTTTTTGGGGGGGGGGGTTGGTTGGTTGGTTGGGTTTTCGAGGATTTTGTTCATATTTTCGTTTGTTTTAAATCTGTGAGGCCTGATCCACTTGAGAATGCAAAGGACTGTGGATCAGTGAACTGGCTAGTTAGGAACAGCAATGTATAGAACCAGACTGCTAAACTAAAATGGAAGTGAAGATGGAGCAGGCAGAAATGAGCTTTTGCATTGGATAGTTCATGCAAACTGACTCTTCAGGAACCAACCTAAACCAGTCTGTCTGATCTGCATCCCAAACAGGGGCTTACCTAGAAATATATTCAGAACTTTATAGGTACTGCCACTAAGTACAGATGGTATTATATTTTTCATCATTGTGTATATCAAGTAATAAGCTTGTGTCCTCCCATTTACCACTGGGCTCTGCATTACTGGATTTTTTATTTTGTTTTCAACATAACTCCATCTAAACTGTGGTGCAGCAAAAATGTCAAGGTAACCAAAGTTGTAGGCAAGATCATCTTCTTGCCAAATACAAATAATGGCCTTAAGAAAAGAAATCCTGGAAAGTGATTTCAGTATGTTCTTGAATATTTTCAAGTCCCAGTTCAGTGAATGAGACTTGAGAATATCTCAACTTGAAACCAGTGGAACGTAGAAACAGAAGATGAAAATGTTACTCTTGAGATTATTTAATAACTGTTGTGCATGTAGTCCCAAATCTCCCATCTGAAAATAACCCTTTTCTTAAGAATTCAGACTGTGCTCACCTGTTTAATACAGGAGGGAATGGGAGCTAATCTTTCCCTCTTTCCTTTGTTTCTCTTTTTTCACCAACAGTTTGAGCAAAGAAAAAGCCAATCACCAATGCTTTCTCGTACCAAGAGGTCTGAAACCAAACTGATGTGAGATTGGGGATTTGAGACTACTACATACAACCAGAGCTGCTTTTTGCTGCTGCAGGGATCCTAACAAGGTAGTGTCTGTAAAAACGTAATGATTAGCAAGTAATAATCCGACTGTCATTTCAAACTTAAAGTTTTGCTTCCCTAATGCATCTGCATAATTATTTACCAGTTCTGAAATCTATTGTTATTAGGACAATGGCCTGTTAGAAAGACAATATTCTTCTGTAACTGCTGTAATTATACTAATAGGCTCTATAACTTTCATAAAAGTTTCATACACTAAACTTTTATTTTTTATTATTCATTTCATTTTATTCATTCCTTCATTCATTTTAGTTTTACACTAAAAAATGGAGGTCAGTTGATGTAATGTCGTAATTCCAGCCACAGCAAATCTAAATGAACATAAATTAATTACTTAAAAGAAATAGTTATTTACATAAAACCAGACCTTGTTTTTCTTGTTTCTGTAAACAAGTGGCCTTTCTTCATAAAGGGCTTATAAAACACTTGTTCATGTTAGCACTTTTTGATGGAAAGACCTGTGAATTTCAAAAATAGCTTGCTCTTAAGAATTATGTGCGCTCTTAAAAAGTAAGCTTTTGAAAATACTAATGCTTCTTTTAATGACAGCGAATAATAACTACCTCAGGTGCTGATTTAATTTCTTTTTTAAAAATGCCCAGATCATAATGTCTTCTAAACAATAGTCATGTACAGAATATGTGAAAATGACTGTATGAATGTGGATTACCATTCCTTTATGTTGGAAAAAAATAAAGCAAAAAATATTAATGGGTAAGTTCTCTTAAATCCTTTTTACACATGATGAGGAAATACCTAAGACTTTCCCTAGTAAAATCAATCAATCAGCAAGATCATGGTAATGGACACACTGATAAAAGTCTGAATGTACTTACACGTTGGCTAGTTGAGATCTCATGTAATGATTAACAGGAAAATTGTATCTGGATAGAAAGTTGCAGCCAGGAATATTCAACAAGTCCACCAGACATTTTATGAGATTTCTCTGGTAGTGCTGCCTGTATCCTATGACTTGGAGCATTTAAATGAAAAAGCAATTCATAATTTTACAACTTATAGCTTTTTCACTGGGTATTTCCTCCTGATGCCCTGATAATGTTGAAAATGTGATTCCTCCAGTTTGTCACAAATGAGGCAGGTTATCTCTGAGTCGAGCTTTAGGGAAGGTAGGTCCTGATCGTTGTGATTCACTAGAATTTTTCTTTATGGAATCTGCATTGATGCAGTGGTTCCGTATAACTTTGGGGAATAGTTGTGCAAGTAAAAATCCATGAAATTTGATCAATCCATTGTTTTACTCTGGCAGTTCCTAGCACAAGAGATACTGTAAATCAGTTATACTTCAGTAGGAAGGACTGAAGAAGCCTTTTATTGTAGAACGGACTTGCAGAGAGCTAAGGAACATCACTGATGCAAAAAAGACAAAGCAAGATCAAGACGGGGAGAGGCATAACTGCCACTCCATTACATATTGCACTTCCATTTCTCCATTCTACATCTATCCCTCTTTCTTATCAATTATATGCATCCTGGCTAGGGAGAAAATAACAAAGATGGGTGCCCCTTATTTTCAGTCCTGGTAAATCATGTAAAAGTATGTGCTTTGGTGAGAAGAACTAGAAACCTCTGGCCCGTTGGGAAATCTGGAGTGCTACATACTAGGTTTCCACTTTCAGATCAAGGCTCCCTCTCCTTGTAGAGATTTATCTTTATAGCTAACCTTGTTAATGGATAAATAACATATAATAAGGAAAGCAAATTTAACAGTTAGTCCTCAAGAGAACTTAACTGAGTATGAAGTTAAAGCCAAATAAAATGCATGCAACTGGAAGACTAAAGTTACTGTATCTTCTGTAACCAATTCTTAAAATATTTGCTGCATATTCACAGGACAGACTGCCTTTTATTGCCTATTCCTGGAATAATGCTGTATTAAACTATATAACTATATAATTAAATCATGAGCTTTATTTGGTAAAATGTAGTACGCCTTTTATAAAACTCCATCAGTTTTTGGTTGGGTTTTTTTCCCCATCAGTTCAGTTTTTAAATAGCTGGTATTCAAGAAGGAGAGGGAAAATTAAAAACAAACTCATGAGGTGTTTCCTTGAAGATTCCCCACAAAATTTATACATAATCAGAGAAAATAGTAAGTCCTAATTTTTATTCAGTTACAGGTTATTTCTGCTCAAACTTACTGTTCATTGTCCCAGACCTAAGCACATGAAAGAGAGTTTTTCTCCTAAAATTTTAAGCCTCTTGGTACTTAAGTCTTTCAAGATTGCTCTAATGAGTCTTTTGTCCATAAACAGAAAATCAAGCCTTTGTGAGCCTCATTTCTACTGTAATCCCATCACTGTTCAATTTGCTGTTCCATCTGATAACTTCCTTTCAGAATAAGCTATTTTAAGTACAAGAGTTTAAACCACTTCAGAAACTATTTTTTCAATCACTAACAAGGCTAGTTTGTTATTACTAAAAAAAAAAATCATATTGTGAATGTCTTAGAATATTTCAATTTAGCATTATTCTTTGCCCCAGCATGCCAATTTGTATACTTGCAATATCCCCTGGTGAGTTGGTTGAAATCTAGCCAAAATATTCATTAGTGGCACTATTATCTATTAAGCTTTTAAATAAAACATACACATCAACGGGACACATAAGGAAAACAGATGATATGATTAAAGACAGTATATGACAGGATTAGAGATTAAAGTCTGTCAGCACTGATTTGTTAAATTGTTGCTAAAGCCTATTTCCCTGTAAAGCACATTAAAACTGAAAAACGTCTAAGCAGTAGCCAGAATGATCAAATTCCTGCTCGGGAAGACTCCTAGTCATTTCAGCAAATATCTTTTTTTAATCCTTTTGAAATCAGCATGGTTTCTGTCTCACTACTGTAGAGTAAGGGCCACAGAACAGCTACTTTCCCTGCATTAAAAACCTTGCTGTCTTTTTTCCTTTCTGTCCCTGCTCTGGTAGCAATAACGTGTCTTGATAGATTATACTCTGGTGCCTTATGTGAGAGGCTGTAATGACCCAGCGCTCCCCAGGGAAGGGGCAAATGCCTTTCACAGCTCTCAGGGGATACCTGGATATGAGCATCTTGAGCCCTGCGGTCCTCAGCATCTCTTCCATCTACTTTGAACACGAGTGGCACTCACCTAGCCCTGGTGAGTTTGTTAAGGTTCTCCTGCGGCCAGGCAGTGATGCAGTCTGTTCTTTGCGTTACCTCTATCTTTCAAAAAGCTCGTAAATTCATTACAAGAATCCACATCCGTGTGTTTAACTTAGGTCTGTAGTTCCATTCTTTACCTTCAGCCTACTGTTTTAACTTAGCAAAAATGTGGTGTTCGGGTTAGATCTTACCCAGGAAAGAAGGGGGTTTTTTTTTGAACAGATGTTGGACGTGAGCATTTGGGTGTTCTGAAATTCCACCACCATAAAGGAATAATGATTTCTGTGTGTCTAAAATTCAAATGCAACTTTTTAAGCTGATGTTTTGCAGAGATGAAAAAGAGCCCACTGGCATCTGTTGAAAGATGCTGTTTGGAGAAGTTACTGTGTTTGTTTGCTTTTGCTTAAGAACACAGCAATCATACAAGCTTGATAACCGAGCGATTCTTTTGATACAAATTTAACCATGATTAGTAAGCGGGAAAGGGGCAACAGTCTGTCCCTTGTGCTAACAAGCTACTCGTATTTAGTGTTAGAAGAATAATTTAAAGGCAGGTAGATAGAACTGTGCTGGCAGTAAGTCAAGCA